TTAGAGGAGTTAGGAGTGACATAGCATGTGCGTGTGGGTGTGAAGAACATGGGACTCTTGTGATAGAGCAGGGGCAAATTAGATTGGAGAGGTAGGAAGTATATATGTCTGTATTAAGGAGGGATTTGTAGACATTTTCAAGCCTATATGCTGTTACAGTTTGGATAGCATAAAGGCTTGTAAACATTAGGAATAAACAAGAAAACCTGTGGGCTTTTTGAAAAGAGTCAGATCTGACTGTCATTTCCAGCAGAGGGGTGGCCATTGCCTATGGAAAGGGTCAGGCCTGCTGCTCCCAAGCATCATGATCCCAGCGTCCTCTCTTGCCTGCCTGGGTCCAGTTGCTTGGCATTTCTCGCTGTGTCCCATCGGCATTTGGCTTTGTGACCTCAGTTTTCAAGTCTTGGATGCCATGCTGGAGAATGTGTGCTGCTGTCACAGGCCATGGGTGCCCCCCTCCCTGCCCCAAGGATTCTGGCAGGAGCCAGAGACTGTGGAATCCGAGGATTCCAGCACCATGCTTTGCTTTAGGCCAGTGAGCAGCTCTTGCTGGGGAGCTGCTGGCTGGGCCTTGGAAATATTTTCATGATGAACAGCATGGGATTTACTAGAGAGGGCTTTGCCTTGTCATCTAGAAATCGAGGCAGACTTCTAGGGATCTGAAGTTCTCTCCTGCCTCTACTTCTGGCTGGCGTGAATAGATTGTGGCTCCTGGCATGTCGCTCTGAAAGGGATGTTGGGGTTATGAGTTGGTGAGTTGTGAGTCACAGCTGTCAGTTGCCTTGTGACATTAGATTCTGAGATGCTTTGGTTCTGTGGGCCCATGAAAGAAGACCAAGGAGAAGCGGGAGCCCCAGCGGGGAAGGGTGCATAGTCTGGAGAGGTTCATAGTGGCTGCAGAGTAGCTGGCTCAAGCCCAGGTATTAATGCATATGGCTACAGAAGAGTAGGTGTGTTTGGGGCAGCTGGTGTGGGAAGTCTTTATGGCTGAGGACACTCTGGCTTTTCCCGGAGTCCTAACTACCCACCATTCAGAGCTCCTCCCAGGTGAGCTGCAGGTGATAGGGCCTGACCAATCGTTTCCCTGCTTTTTACAGGTAGGACAAAATTTACCTAAAAGTATTGCTTTTTTTTTTTTTTTAACACACAGATACAAGTTAGGAATTTTCTTAAAAGCATATGGCCATAGGATGCAAGGGTACCTAGAAGTCAGCTGAATTACATCAAGTTGAATCTATTTCCTGTTTTATGTGATGTTTTGCTTACTAAACCAGAAGGGAATGATGCAGCAGCTTTAGTAAAGTAGTTCACAGTTTCTTAAGATACACTTGTCTGTATTAAATCATAAGTAGTATGATTTAATAGTAGGGGCTGGGTGGTGGTATTGGTTTAATTTAGGGATCCTATGCAAACGCTGTTAGTTACTGGTGCAGAGTCAGCCTGGGAGGAGGTCAGAAAGTGAGCACCACAGGGCTCTGATTTTGGCTTGGGTTGGGTTGAGTATAAGGAAGATGTGTTTGTCTGATTTGGAGGCCCAGAGCTGGGAAGGACTGCTTAGTCTGTAGATAAATCAGAGTCATCTAGGATGAAGACCTCAAATTAAGAAGAAAAAGAGCTTATTACTTTCTTTGGGGGGGGGAAGAATACAGTCAAATATGGCAAAACAAAGCTGTCAGTCAATACCAAGGATAGACATAGCACATGGTGTAGAACAGAGTACAAGTTTATCAACAATGGTTATCAACGTTGTCCCTTGTTTCCTTAAGAAGAATTGTCTATCTTATTAGATATTATAAAGTTGGACAAAACAGTAGAGAACAAGACCAATAAAACTTAGGCATTGTAAACATTACAGGACTTCCAAAGAAGACAATAGTCAAACCAGAATGGGTATCTTAGTGAATCTTATTGTCTTCAAAGTAGTTGCCTATGTCTTCAAACTTGATACTATCATATAGAATGGAACAGAGTCTAATCAGTCAAAACAAGATCGTGGGAGTACTACAGGACTTCAAAACAAGTTAATAGGAAATCGAAAAGAGTTACTATTTATATATCCTAATTTTTTTGAATTTTTTCTTTAATTAAGACAAACATAAGAAATGACTAAATAATTTTTTTTTGAAACAATAAGGGGGAGATTGAGATAAAACAGGACATAACAATATAACAATAGAGGTCACAGCATGACTGTTTCAATAACCTAGTACTTCACCACCTTCCAAGATGTGTAAATTTTGTTGTAAAAAAGAGAGGGAAAAAAAAAAAGAAAAAGAGCTTTAACGGATATAACAGCAAGTGTGTTTGGGGGTGTTAAATAGCTGACTTTATCAATGTTTTTGGAACATTGAACACAGCTGTTTGCAGTCTCCCTGTTTGAATGTCCACCTTGTGTTCTTTGATACTGTGATTTGAGGAACTATTTTCAAGAAAATAGTGTGTAATCTACTAGCAGGTAATTTCTTACTGTTATGGTTTTTTGTTTTGTTTTGTTTTGTTTTGTTTTGTTTTGTAGTTCTGTATTGCGTGTACCCTTACGCCGCTTTGGTTTGTTTTGTGTTTTTCTCTTTTTCTTCTTAAATAAAAAAAAAAAAAAAAAAGAAGAAGAAAAACAGCCGGTGTGGCGGTGCACGTGTGTGATTCCAGCTAATTGGGAGACTGAGGCAGGAGGATTGCAAGATCCGGCCCTGCTTGGGTAACTGTGAGCATCTTTCTCTAAATAAATAAACAAATGGGGCTAACTAGGGTTGTAGCTCACAGCCCCTTCCCTCATTTCTGTAAAGAATAAATATAAAGCGTGGTTTAGTTTTACAGATTTGGGCCAAAATCTCAAGATGGCCAAATAGTCTAATAAGATAATTATTCTTCTGGGGATGTAGCTGAGACAAAACATGAAATATAAATGATATTTTTATGCACCCATCATTCAGATTTTTTAAAAACTCTAGTAGTAGCAACCTATATTTCCACTGGTGTGGGCTGGAGATAGTGGATAGGTGAATTCCAGTGGATGTGTCTTTAAAATGGAGGTTTATGAAGTTATGCAAAATAATATTTAGGAGCAATTTAAAAGATAACCAGGGAGGATGTTTCTGGTAAAAGTTACAGTGTGCCTACCATCTAATTCCAAAGGTTTAAAAAACATGCCTAGAAAATAACTGGAAGGAAGCGTCCTAATAATACCAAACCTCCTTGTTTCTAGATGGGTTGAGCTAAGTGACTTTCTCTTTTTCATGCTTTTAAATTTATTATTTGCCAGTGGGGGGGGGAACCGCTACTTTAAACACATCTTGTTGTTTGAGGACAGGATGGAGTAGATGATTCATGTGGAGATTATTGTTGAGTACCTACCTGCCCCGTGTCAAGTGTTGGCTTAGATACCACTCTCACAAAATAACACCCAGCACCTGACTCTGGCACAGGCCACTGTGGAAGGCCAGGCTGTCTGGTGGAAAGTCTTGTGTTTTTTTTTTCTCTGTCATTTATGAGTTCAGCGTGGAGTCCTCAGTGGGTTGAGGCTTTCCAAATATCAAAGCCAGTGGAGAATCCCAGGATCCAGTCTTAATGACCTTGGTCATATGACCTTTGGACTCCTGGGGTGATTTTAAAGGAACCTGAGCATCAGGACTTGATCCACAAAGGGAGAATAGGGTGATGGAGACTCAGGAGTGACCTGTATGGGCTTGTGGAGGGGGTCTGCAGTAGTGCCTATAAAATGCTTTCATGGTTGTCGGGGGTAGGCAGGACCACTAGTGTTCATTTTTTTGTTTTTGGTACCGGGAATTGAACTCATGACCTTGTACTTGCCAGGCAAGTGCTTGAGCCGCTGAGCCAAATCCCTGGTCCTAGGTTTGGCGCCATAGGTAAATTCCCAGGGGCGGGGAAGATGACGTCACGGTAAATTCCTAGGGGTGGGGGAGATAGGAGCTTCCTGGTCCCTATTGAGGCTTTTCTGGCTAGAGTCCCGTCTGGGCCAAAACCCTTTCAAATTTAATTTGACATAATCTCTTTAAATGGTTGGCAGCGGTCATTTAGGGCCCTTGTCATTCCATACAGCGAGGCACCTTGGGAGAGTGCCGCACCCCATCTCTCCCCAGTGCTGTTCAGTTCAGGGCTCTGGCCAGCCACCTCAGCAAGCTTTTGTGCAGTTAGGAGCCATGCAGCCGTGTTCCCGTGGCACAGCTACTTACACATCTTTTCTGAGCCTCACTAGCTTATTCTCCGTGTGTTTTGTTTCTGTAGGCAGGGGCTGAACAAGCGTTGTGTGTTTTCACTTCAGTTAGATTTTATTGGTACATTTGGGACATACCCAATGATCATCATAGAGGATTTGTACCTCTACATGGTACTGTTTACTTTCCCATTCCCCTACCCTCCCTTCAAGGTTCCTCCCCTTATCCATTTACAAACTTTCCTTTCCACATTTTCTGTTTTGTGTTAAGTAATCAGATTTACAGTCTTTTCCCTTTTTGCTTCTTGATTTTTGAGACATAATCAGGAAAGACCTGTTGAGTACATGGAAAAAAAATCACCCAACGCTTTTTTGATATAGTGGTTTGTTTCTGCCATCAGTTGCTGATCCTTTCAATCCACACTGTGAATAACTAGGGGAGGCTCCATCACCTACAATGCCAGCCACCTGCGACTGGGCCCTGGCTCTGAGGTGAGCCGCAGCGCCAGGGGTCTGCACCCTGAACTTTGACGCGTGGCCCCGCCCCACCCAGGCGAAGGTGCCAACCAGGCCAGCAGCCACGTAGCGGCGTGCCAGGCCTAGTGCCCAGGTCCAGCGGTGAAGGCGCCTGAGCTCGGTGCCCTAGCGCGGCTACTGGCCAGCCTTGCTCTATGGCCAGGGGACCCCGGGACCCCGCCCCCGGCTGCGCTCACTGGACGCTCCGCCCACTGGCCTCGTTCATTGGACGCTCCCGCCCCGCCCCCGCGCGGTGTCCAGCTTTCGCCCCGCCCCCTCTGTGAAGCCCTGCCCCTTTGTGGTCTTCCTGGAGACCCTCTGTTACCTAAGTTTAGGGTTCACAGCGCAGCACAAAGCCGAAGGTGTAGCTGTGCAGTTCCGCCCTCTGCTGCCGCTGCCACTGGGAAAGACTTCTTTGCCACTGCCGGGTCCGGCCCGATCGGGCCAGGTCCTGCCCGGTCCTGCCCGGTCCGGCCGGGTCCGCAGCGAGCGGTCCTTCGCTATGGACACGGTATCAGCCACTGTAGCCGGGGTCTTCGCGTCCCCGGGTACCCCCGAGCTGCTGAGGCGCCTGTCGAAGCTGTATTCGGCCTTTGTAACCCTGCTACTGAAGGTGAGGCGGGGGAACCAGGGTTGGGCAAGGGGCGCTGGTCGCCCGCTGGTGGGACGGTCCCTTCGGAAGAGCCGTACCCGACGGGCAGGAGCCGGCAGGAGCGTGGTGTGGGCTGCAGAGGGCCGGGCTGAGGGAGCGGCATGGTCTGAAGCCAGCCATCGCCTTGGGAGCCACGTTCACGCCCCACCTGTTTCCTCGCACGGATTGTTTCATGAGGGTGCAGCAAATTGACATGCAGCCTCCTGGAGGAGTGATGCCTGACTTGTGGCGATCATTGTCATAGTGCCTTTGTTTGCAGACGCACAAACCTATCATGTATTTACAATGTGGGGTGTGTGTGTGTGTGTGTGTGTGTGTGTGTGTGAGTGTGTGTATGTGCCTGCGTGTGCAGTAATAGAAAACCGCTCAGACACTGCGATGAAGAAGGGCTGTTGGCCAACTGGGAAGTAGGTTCAACTCACTCCCTAAGTTTAGAGACTCCACATACGGGACAACAACGCGAGCCTGCCTGTATCCCCTTTCCGGAAGTTTCTTCAGGGCACCTGGAAGTTGGTTTAGACTATGGAGAGTAGATTGAGAGTATCTGTGATGATCCTTTGTGATTGCTCCGCCAGTTCTGTTAACGTTTCCGTTATTTGTGCCCTTCCTTTTCAGCTGGTTGCAGTGTTACCTGAGAATTTCCAGCCCGGGCCTGGAGACTTTTATGGGCTCCCCTGGGAGCCTGTATTGTTCACTACCTGTGTTGGAATCCTTATGATTGCGATTTTCTTGTGGAGGAATGTTTTTCCAGTGAGTGAATTAACTTGCTCTTTGACTTCTGAATATATTGAGGATTCTATTATCATTGGCCCTTTCAGTTATTAACATAAACAAATCAGTGGTTATAATTCAAGTTAGTTTTCTGAAATAATTTAATCTTGGTACTGGCAAAGACTTAAGAGCAAGCTAACCATATCCACTTATTAGTAGAGTTGGTGACTCGTACAGCCATCCTGAAAAGCAGTTTAATAATTCTATATATCATAAGCCTTTAAAATGGGATACAAAACAGGATAAGAAATATAAATTGCTTTTATATGGTATGATAACGTCAGTAAATGATCTTAAAGAAATAAATTACATGTTAAGATTTTATACAAAGGTATTAGATGTAGTATTTAATAGACTAATAACTTGGTGAAACCTAAATGATCTATATTAGGGAATATCATGTTTCATCTTATTTATATCCACAGAACAGAATATTAGGCTGCTGTATGTATTTCAAAGGCAGGGGACAAAGAAGGTGTTCACGATTTAATGTGAAGTGGGAAAAGGGGAAACAGACCGTGAGGTACTGATGAACTGTGCTGTAGAAACATACAGGGCAAGAAATACAGTAAGATGGTAGAAACATCCAGGCAAGATCAGGCAGAGTGGTGTGTGCATTCCTGTGGCCCTGGAGGAGAGGGAGGCTGAGACAGGAGAAGTGCAAGTTTGAGCCCAGCCTGGGCAACTTGGTCACTTAGCAAGAGCCTGTCTCAAGAATAATGGGAAGGCTGAGAATGTAGTTCATTGTGAAAGCCCTGTCCCAGGTACCACCAAAAAACAACCCCAAAACAGCACCCTATGAAAGATTCCTGTGAGGACTTCTGGAATCTCACCGAACAGCTTCTTGGATGAAAGCACGCCTGGAAGGGTACGCAGAGTGTTTGGGGGTGAAAAGGTGCTGTTTCCCCTGCTCCTCTCCTTTGGTTCCCCTGCAGCTGCTACCCAGCAGGGCTCTCAGGCTCAGCCCTGCAGCTTCACACCCTGCCCCTGGGCTCACTTCCTCCCACTCCCTGAGGTCACATGGCTCTGAGGCGCCACTCCTGATCCTGGAGAGCACAGTCGCCCTCCCCCAGCCAGACGCCCCTCAGCTGGCTACTGCGCTCTGCTGTCCTATACTGTTTATAGCACTCGGAAGGAGAAGACAGCTGCTGTGGTATTTAATTAGTTACAGTTTAGGATTTATGACCCCAGAAGGCACTGGGAGTAAGAACTGGGTCTGTGCTCTTCCTGGAAGCCGTTAGCTGTCATTTCTCTGTGTTCTTCTGGTGTCTTCCCTTCCACTTAGATTTATTACTGTTTTTGTGGTCTGGGGAAATCAGATGATGAGGTGTATTAGATTATTTCTTAATTGAGTCAATAGATCACTTGAAATAGGGTTTCTGAGGTATCTTCCAGTGAGTGAGAGAGGCGTATCTTAGTGCAAAGGTCATGCTGGTAATCTCGCTCGCCAGTCCTCCATATGGTCACCCATTTCTAGACTGCATGCTTGCCTTTGGGATTGTCAAGTAATTTTGAGTAAGTAAATCAATAATATGTGTATTATAAAAACAAGCATTTCACTGTTGAAGCCAAATGCTCATCTCAGAAGCCTGGTGTTCACTTGGTCCTGGCACACAAGCCCGTGTGTAGCTGTGAAGTAAGACACGCTCCTTACTGTTCCTCTGTATCAGAGGCTATTTATAATACATTTTTAATTGTATGGGTTTATTCTGAACTAAAGTTACTAAATTTTCACTTGGTTATGATCCTGACTTGTGTTAGGAACTATGTATTCCTTTTAATCAAATGTTTGACATCTAATTTCTCTCTTTCTCTTCTAGGTAAAGGAGAGAATATACCAAGGTAAATCTCTTCCTGTTGGTGTTTGGGAGGACTTTTAGGCAGGCTAGGAGCGACAGTGACTTTGGTGTCTGATTTGACTCACTAACTGCTCCACATTTTACTGTTGCTACTAACCATGGTATAATGGGTAGGGTGGTGGTACTGGCTGAGCTAGGAGATGTGGTGCAGGGGTGACTGCTTACTTGGAGCAGACAGAGCGTGGCTGGGCCACACAGGCGTGGAGAGAGGACAGTGTGTCTGTGCTAGGGACACCTCGGCCCCTATAGGTTTATCGGCACAGGAGCTCGAGAGACAGGAGTGCAGATCTGTAGCCTAAAGTTTCTTTTTCTCGTAGCAAATGACATTCATTTGAAGTGATCCGTTTTCAGAGAACAAGTGCCTTTTGTGAAAGGAGCCTCTCCAACTGTGTAACATTTTACTGTATCTCCTGCCTTTGCAGTAATTGATATCTCCTCAAAACAAGTGTTACTATAGTTTTCTTAAAGTTTAACAGTGTCCTGTGCACTGTTGCTGTTAGCTTCGGGTCTCTCTGGACAGGCAGGTAGCTGTGCTAAGCCCTGTCTCTCACAGAGCCTCACAGGTGTCCTTGCTGCTGAGACACTGTGCAGCTCAGTTCCATTTAATGCTCCTAATAACCTGGCTATTTCCTCTTTTTAGTCACTGAACAGCAGATTGCCGAAAAGGTGAAGACTACCACAAAGGACAATGCACAACTTGCAGAAAAATTGTCAAGTTATGAACAGAAGGTAGAACCTCTCACGGGCCCTCCTCTAGCGCGTCTGTGGTGTAGCTCAGTTATTACGGTATTTTGAAGGCCTGTGTTCTCGCTTCATCATTTCCTCTGAGCCCTCCAGATCTTATGCACCATCATGTGTAAAAGGAACGCTCTGCTTGCTTCTTTGGAACAAGGTTTTACTAGCACAGTGACTTCTGTTACTTAGTTCTGAATGTGTTTTTTACATAGATCAATCAATCGCAGAGGCTTCTTCAGGAGACCAAGAATCAGAATAGGATTCTCTCTGAGGAAGCAATTAAATACAAGGTAAAAGTCCTTCTCTTTGGGGGATTATAGTCTAAAAACAAAAGCAAGCATTAATGCGTACTGTTACTTTTAATCTCTTTTCTTCTGGATAAAATCAAGGTGCTTGAAGAAAGCAAGGAATTTCTGGATGATATGGCCAGAACTCTTGGTGATATGTTAGAATGTGAGCGGCAACGCAACATGAAAAATCAGGATTTGGTGAGTTCTGCCACTGCGTGTTACTAAAGGTGTATTTTTAGCTATTTCGTAAATCAGTTGAGCTGTTTCCATGCTATTAACTTCATAAGACTAGGAATAACAGAACTGAACATGCCTGTACCCATTTTGTGGGATTTTTAGTACTAGTTCAGTAGAATGTTTTTATAGGCACGGGAAGTGTTTTGATCCTGAATCTTGGATAATTTCATAGTTGTGTCCTCCAGAACACACAGTCACTAAAAAATTGGTCCAGCTGAGTAGTCTATGTAAACTGGTTTTATTTCACAGTGAACTCTGTGCCTTTCGAATAGTCTGCAAATCCCCTAAGCGGAAATGTAGTGAGGAGAGTTCTCATGCTTCCCACCTCCTGTGTGGCCTGGTCCTTTGCTCAGCACATACCTGGTGAATTGCCCATTTTCAGTCCTTTGTGCACCATGCTGTTTGGCAGGAAGTTATGACATACAACCTGCAGTTAAAAGAACGGTGGGTTAGGGTCACCCCTTGAGCCAGTATTGTCATAAATATTGAGAAATTTGGCACATGAGATTTTTCTATTCCCCCAGAAACACATTTTTTTCTATTGGTTTATTTTGGTTTTGTCTTTTTGAGACTGGGTTCTGTTATGCAGTTCAGGCTGGCTGTGAACTCACCTTGTAGCCTAGGCTGGCCTTAAACTCTCCTGCCTCAGCTTCCTGAGTGCTGGGATTACAGGCGTCCTCCACCATACCCAGCATTCTTACCATTTTTAATTCAGACAAGAACATGTTTAAAGTGATCTTGGAGCTTTTTTTTTTTTTTTTTTTTTTTTTTGGTGCCAGGGATCGAACTCATGACCCAGTGCTTGGCGGGCAGGCATTTAATGCTGCTGAGCTAAATCTCCAGACCTTTTGGCGCTTGTTTTCCTGACACCAGAAAAAGCTGTTCATTTTCCGTGGTTTGCTTAAACATTTCTTTATACTATGTCATGTGGTTACCCCAAAACTTGAGGGTGCCATGAAACTCTTGACTTCAGTTTTTTCTCTCAGCTCTTTAAGCAGATTTTTTCCCCAGACCATGTTTAATCCCGATTTTACCTAAAACATAGTGGATAGTTTGGGGTACCTTGTAGTAACGTTTTTGTTCTTTAGCATATGTATCAGTGTTTCTCCCACAGTCCTAATGCGTTCTGTGTGTTCCTTGCTTCCGTGGCAGGTCCTGGAAAATGAGAAATCTGTGGAGAAGCTAAAGGAGGTTATTTCAATGAATGCCTCAGAATTTTCCAAGGTAAGGCTGCCCACACTCCCTGCCGGTGTCAGTGTCGAGACTCAGCTGCATGGAGCAGTGGTGACCTGATGAGTGCTGAGAGCCGTGGAAGGCAGAGGCCGTGCATGATTGAGGGGCAGGGCTGGGGGCCCCTCCCTGGCGTGGCTCATGAACAGTCGTGTTGTGCGTTAGGTTCAGGTCACCCTGAATGAAGGCAAGTTGAGTGAGGAGAAGGTGAAGTCTGAGTGCCACCAGGTTCAGGAAGAAAACACAAGGCTGAAGAAGAGAAGAAAGTGCAGATTTTGTAAATGTTTGGTCAGAGTGGGTGCAAAACCCATCGACTTTAGCTCTGTCATCTTCTCTCATGAGGAGCTGCTTATGCAGGCCCCTGCAGCAAGCTGGGGAGCATCGAGTCTGTCCTCCCCAGCTTGCACCTTACTGAGGGCACAGGCTCCTTTTGTGTTTCTCGTGGATTTTCAATTCTGTAAATTGATGAGAGTTCTTGGCCCTTGTCTTGTTAGATACTAGTCATTACTTTGGCCTCAGCAAGGCCAGGGGTTGGCTTTTTAAACCTCAGATTTAAGGCTTTGCTAAGCCTCCTCTAATAGTTACTGCCTCACATTGGCCATAGGAAGGTTAGATCAGGGATCTGTGATCAACACACACACACACTGAGGCCAGAAATCCCACAGCTAGCTGCCGGTAGTTCCCATTTGAATGGGTTATGTTCCTGCTAGGGGGATACACAGGATAGTCCCATTAGGTGGTAAGGACAGTCCTGCATGCCCTGCAGCAGTTCATGCCAGTGGGAATATGTTAAGCCCCAGCAATACATGCCCACGGGTGCCACCTGGAAGTCAGGCATTTGAGTCAGCAGGCATTTTTCAGAAGGACTTGATGGCTGGGGTCAGCTTCGTTGACAGCTCAGGGTAGAAGTCACACTCTGCAGGCCTGAACCAAGTCTTAGCCTCTGCGATGGGACAAGGAGGGACAGGACTCCTGCTTCCCCATCCCACTTGCATGGTCCTGTGCCTCTGTGGAATCCCCAGTCCGCAGGGACCCTTCCATGTGACTTTCAGCTAGAGCAGGAAGTTGAAGACCAGAAGAAGCTGAACGCTGAACTCAGCCAGCGAGTAAGGACGTTGGAAAAGTCTCAGAGGGATCTGGAAGCCACTCTCCATGATAAGGATGATAGCATTGGTGTAAGTTACCCCAGCCGGCCCAGCCTGATCATGAACACTTGGAAAACAAACCCACTGTGAGGATGGAGAGGCTCTTAACTGCTGCTCGCTTCTCTGCTAGACTCTGAACAACTGCATCATGCGGCTGAACCGGATGGAGGAGAGGAGATCGGAATCTGAGGGTCCAGGTCCAGGCAGATGTGAGCCAGGTGAATTAGCCAATGGAGAAGTGGGAGGTAAGACCAGCCCTAGCCCAAGGGCCTTTTTTTTTTAAACCAGGGATCTAACTCATGACCATGCACTCACCAGGCAGGTGCTTGTGCCACTGAGCTAAATCCCCAGCCCTTCAAGGGCCCTTTTTTGTCTTCTTCTCTTTATTGTTATTTTAGACAAGGTCTCTATGTAGTGGCTGGCCTTGAACTCACTGTGTAGCCCATCCCGGCCTCAAACCCACAGCAAAATTTCTACCTCAGTCTCCTAAGCATTTTTGTCTTTAATTCCATACATGGATACTGCTTCTCAGCTGAGTTTCTTCTTGCCCCAACTGACCCATGCAGCTCTTTAGGTTCTTAGTGTAAAGGACCACAAGAGGATGAGAAAATAGACAAATCTGGGGTCAGGTGGAGCCCTTACCCTCCTCATGGGAAGAAAGGAACTGGCCCCTCACTGCAGGGGCGTTTATACGTTTTAGCAACTTAATGTCATGTGATGCCCTGTTGTCCTAGCAGCCCACTGTTCAGATTGTCTTGGGGTTTGGTGATCTCTGGGCTGAGGCAGCTTCTTCACATGGCAGTCCCAGGGGCTCTTTGTTCTTGGGCCAGCCATGCCCTGGCCCTGCACATGTGGTCGGTTTCCAGCTTCAATGGCTCCCAACATCTGAATAATTTGTACTTATGTCTGGGTCACTGGGGTGCAGTAGCAGCAGGCAAGTGGGGAAAGCTGCTTTTCCACCCCTTGAGAACTGGATGTGTACGCTGGAGCCTTTGCCTTTGTGTCGGCCTCTGTGCCAGAGAAGACACTCACTCAGCTTTCTGGAGATGACACACGGGTCCGTACTCACGGCCTCTGCTGTTCTGTGGTTCTCAGGCACTTGGCCAGGGTCACCTAGAGTGTGGGGATGGGGAGCCACAGCCCAGGCTGTGAGGGCAGAGGCTGGAGAGCAGCAGGGTCTGAGATGAGGAAAGTGGTCAGGGTGCCGCCCAGCTGCAGAGGGTGCTCAGAGTGCGAGTCTGGACCCACGCCGGCCAGCTCCCCCTAGACCATCATGTGGCAGAGCTAGGCTTGCTCAGCCACAGGCCAGGTGGCATGCTGTCTTGGCAGGAGCTTACAAAATCTAAGGGTGCAGTTGTCATGAAAGTCAGTGTGTCAGTTCTGTTGGTGAATTGTTTTTCTTTACAGTGTTTGATGAGCATTAGTTTAGTTTTGTGGAAGTCAAGACAACAGTGTTAGAAACGGCACAGGAAGACACAGCCACACTTGTTCTCTTTGTAGGTGGGGAGAGTAAGATCAAGGCTCACATGCACCGGCTGATGGATGTCTCCCAGGTGAGTCCCTTCACAGAGTCCCCCCAGGGGCCCATGAGTCCTGACTGAGCCTTACTTTCAAGCCTGTGCCCCTCCCTCACAATTTTCAGACACATTCCACAATATCCGTATTTCAGAAAGATCTCCAACTCCTGCAGTTGAAGCTGAGAGCCTCCCTGTCTGCCAAATGTGATCTGGAAGGTAGGTCCCTGACCACATGGTGGTCAGGCTGAGTGCCGGCATGAATGAGGCAGGGATGCTGGGAGCCTGGTTCTGTGTCTTTGGCGGTGCCCTTGGTGACGTGTCTCACCTCCCAGACCAGATCGTGAAGCTAGGTGAGGACTGCGGCAGGCTGCAGGCGGACAAGGCCCGGCTGGAGGAGGAGTTTAGCATGCTGCAGCAGAAGGTGGAGATCCTGAAGGAGCTGTCCCACCAGAAGGAGCTGGAGCTGCAGAAGTGAGTCCCAGAGATTTTGTCCAGTGTCTCATGCTGGCCATTCCTGTCACTTCTGATTGCCTAGCAGCTTGGATGTGCAGTGATCATAGAGGAAACTTGGGGCCCAGGGTGCTGCTGGTTTCCTGTGATGGCGACCTGAGGCTGCTCCTGCCTGTCCGCCGTCACCATCATCCAGCTAGCAGTTGGGCCCAGTGTCCTTGCCTCTGTAGCCTCAGCTCCACTGCTTATTTCTTAAAGCCTAGGGATTTGTCGAGGGCTCAGTTCAGCATCTTTGGCATTGTCCTCCATGTGTGGGTTGAAGGAGGGCAGCACTGGCCTCTGGGGCCCACATTTCGCTTTCTGGCTGGGGCCAAGTCTCCCATCCACCCATTTGGCCTATCTTGTGTGCTTATCATGGCCTAGGTCTAGAGAAACAGCTCTTCCCAGACAGTATGTGGGGATGGGGGGAGGTGGACTCCGCCTATTGCTTTCCCAGCAGCTCTGCTGGACAATCCTGGCTTCCCTCGGGGAACACTCATCTCCCACACAGGCAGCTAGAGCCTGGTGCATGCTGTGCTCTTAACTTGTTCTGTTTGCTGATTAGACAATTACAAGGAGAGGTGAGAGAATATAAGAACACAAGCAAATGGCCCAGAGCCTGGAGCTTGACTGCCCTCCTGAAACCCTGTGCCTGCTGCTGGGTGGGGAAGTGGCCTGTGGGCCGAGTTCAGCCCTGGCAGCTGCCTTTCTCCTAGGATACTGAGTCAGGCGGAATGTGCACAGCAGCAGCGAGAGCAGGCGCTGTTGGCTGTGGATGAGAAGGTGGTGCCGGCCACAGAGGAGGTGAAAATCTACAAGTGAGTGTGGCGTCCGAGAAAGAGGAACTGGGCTGAGTTGCTTTGTTACATAGAAGAGATGGGCACAGAAGCACATGAGCAGTCCAAGAATGGAATGTATTTAACTCACACAGGGAGGGGTTCTACATTAACAGACAGAAGCTTGTTAACAGCGAAGCTCCTTTGCAGATGTGTCCTGTGCCCATTTTTAGGAAATCGGCCTGCTTCTGTCACACATCCACACCCACCAGAGTCTCAGTGCTCCGACAGACCGGGGGCAGCATTTTGAGTCATTTCTTGTGGCTATAATTTGAGGGGAAAACCTTTTAATTTTTAATCAGTACCGGGGATCAAACTTACGACCGCCCGCTTTGCAAGGCAGGTGCTTATGCCGCTGAGCTAAATCCCCATCCCCTGAGGGGAAAACCTTTATGGGGAAGGTAGCCTTAGCCAGATTATTTTGAGAATGTTATTCAAGGACAGTTAAGGAAATTGACAAGTTGTCAACTCATAATCTCTAGGCATTAAATGAAAAATCAGGAAACTGAGGTTCACACTGCACTCATCACGTTATGAAATGTTTCTGTATGATGAAGTCTTTAAAGGTCAGACATGGTCAGATTGTTGCAGAATTTATTTGATTCTAACTGCTAATTATTATTTTTAGGCGGCGAATCCATGAAGTGGAAGCAGAATTAGAGAAAACGGAGCGCTCATTTAAAAACCAGGCAAGGAATAGAGTGCGCTGTGGTGACAGCACCCGTTAATCCCCCACACAGGAGTCATGGAGGGCTGCAGCCCCGGTGACTGTTCCCTCAACCTGCGTCTTGCCCTGTTCTCTTGCAGCTTGCTACTGAGAAGAAAAAAGCCCATGAGAACTGGGTAAGAGCCTCCTCCTCGCCTCGCCTCGCCTCGCCCTCTCCAGCTTCACTCAGCCACTGTGCTGAGCTGGCCTCTCTGTCTCCACAGCTCAAAGCCCGAAACGCAGAGCGCCTGGTGGCAGATGAGAAGCGGCAGGCCGCCAACCTGCGGCAGAGGTTAGCAGCGCATGGCGCTATGCGTGGCGCCCACGTTTCAGCCCACTCAGGGTGGCTATGGTCACCCCCAGCCCTACTGTGTCTGTGTGCAGGCTGGTGGAAATTACCCAGAAGCTGGATATGCTTAAAGAGGAGCCTGGGATCATCAATCGGATGCCAGACTGTCCTGGAGTGCAGAACGCGCCCCACAGAGGTGGGCACTCTGTCCTTCTGAGTGGGACTCGGGGAACTTAGCCACTGCAGAGAACTGGTAACCAGCGCGTGTGTTGTCTCCTCAGGTCCCCTGAGCCAGAAGGGCTCCTTTGGCCCGTCCCCTGTGAGTGGCGGTGAATGCTCCCCGCCCCCAGGCGCACAGCCCCCTGGATGGCCGCCATCTGCAAGCCTGAACTTGGCACGCCATGACATTGCAAGAGCCGACTTCGGTGAGCCTCTCCAGGGCCTCTAGTCCCGGACTCCGGGACACCATGCTGCCTTGCCCCGGGCATGGTTCCCTGAGCTCTGGTACAGAGCCCGGGCAGTCCCGGCTCGGGTTTCCACTTATCCCTGGGCCCTGTGCAGGCCCACCTCGATTGCAGTGCAGGAGCAGGGTCCTGGGAGCAGTCGCCCACCCCGTCACTCCCAACCCTCTCTGGCTGTGGCATGGCAGAGGCCGCAGTGTCGCCCTCTCCCTTTCTGCACAGTGTTCAATGAGTGGGCGCACTTTCGTCACCACTCATCCCACTCCGGGCCACCGGGGAAGGCTCCTGAGCTGGCAGGTCCGCGTGTTACAGGTCTGTGTGCTGCTCCCAAAGCACGTGGCCACTGTGTGCGGGCTCAGTCTTCCGAGGCCCTGTCTTCCTCCTCCACAGCCTGAGACCTAAAGCAGCCTCCGCCTCTGGCTTGGGCTGCCACAGCGCAGCTTTCCCAGCTCCCCAGGTCCACGAAGTGCTGACCAGGTGGAGCCCGCGCAGGCTCAGAGGCCTCCTTCGACCCCCCCCTACCCCCACCCCCACCCCCACTTGACGCCTGCTCAGTGAGCCTGGTACCTCTGGCTCCACTCGAGGGCTCCCTGGCCTCCTGCCTCCCAGGGGCCTTGCAGCTGCCTCTCAGAGGCAGCCATGACTCTGCTCCCTCCAGGGACTGTCCTTGGGGCTCTGGAGTGTTCTCGAGGGCACTTCCGAGGGCGTGCCTGTGGCCTCTTCCGGTCCTCGTCCTCATCCTCGTCCTCGTCCCCGACCTCGTCCCTGCCCTCGTCCCCGTCCTCGTCCTCGTCCTGGGAAAGTCCTCTGAATGCCTTGTCTGCCCCCAGATCCCGGCCCTGGCCCCGTGGCCAACAGCAGCTCCCGCGGCTCCTCTCCAGTGAAGGACATGGACAACGCCAAGGTGAGCCTGGAGCCCGTGCCTTGGCCCACGCTGCTCCATGGGCCCTCCGTTTCCCCTCTGTTCTCCAGCTGGCCTGGGCTTGGCGACCCTGCTGACTAGGTCACCATCTGACTGGGGCCTTCACTAAGGCTGGGGCCACGTGCTGAGTGCTGCAGCACAGCACACCTCATGCCCCTGACTTGAGTGTTTGGTTTGGTACTTATTTTGAGTCAGGGTTTCCTTATGCAGCTCAAGCTGAACTTGACCTCACAGTACCCAGAGCCGACCTGCAGTTCCCTAGCAGTCCTCCCGCCTCAGCCTCCCGAGTTCGGGATGACTGGTGTGCATCGCCACACTCGAGTGCCCTTGATTTTTGGGAGCAGCTGTTGCGGTCCTCATGGTCTGTGCTAGGCAGACCCCTTGCAGTGATGGGGATGAGGTGGGCGTGGGCTCTTCCAGGAGTGGGAAGCCGGTTCCAGGGCCCCCTGAATCCGACCCTGGGCGGCCCAGGCTGCTGTGCCTCCTGGGTCCTGAGGCTGCTGCCTTGGCAGCCTTCGCACCGCATGGGGCCGCCTGCAATGGTCAGAGCTCCATGGACTGCCTTCCAAGCAGCCCAGGCACAGGCGCCTCCGCCAACCCCTCCCTGTGCAGTGTCAACTGGCCGAGGCAGCTTCCTGTTCTCCCCAGCGACCCCGGGTCCCTGGGAGCCCTTGTGTCTGCCTGTCGTGCCCAGGGACTCGCTCATGCTGGCAAGAGTGCAGCGAGCTGGCGCAGCGCCCCGCTGGCACCTCTGGAGCTCATCTCCACACCCGAGTGGGGACAGCGTGGTGACCATGCTCGCTGTGTGGCGTGCTGCTCACGAGGGCCCGGCAGGGTCCGGGGATCCCTTGACTCCTCTCGGGACGGGCACCCAGTGTCACTGCCGAGCTCGAAACTGGGCCTGCTTCTGTTCGCAGGTGAGCATGGCCGTGAAGGGGCCCCCAGCCCATCCAGGGCCCCCGTTCCTGGGAGGCCCCATGCCGCCCCACATGGGCTATGGGTCGCCACCGCCACCACTGCTCTGCAGGCCCTTCGGGCCTCGGCCGATGCCTCCTAGGCCACCGCCACCATTCGGTACAGTAGGACACTTGGGCTGGCACCACCGCCTACCCTGTCCTCTCTCCTCTCCTGTCCTGATCGGCAGCTGCAGCCCGCCAGACTCTAAGCATGAGGCTCAGCACTCTGAGCCCAGTGCAGCCTCCACAGCTGCTTGGACCAGAAGGGCCCTTTCGGCAGAGCCGAAGTGCCAGTCTCAGCGGGGTGGTCACCTGGGATGCCACAGGCCACCGGCAGTGGGAGAAGGGAGGGTCAGGCTGTGGTTGAGCCTTACTGAGCCTCAGTTTTCCTTATCTGTGAAGTCCAGTGCATCACTCGACTTCCTGGTGCAGGGGAAGGGAAACCCTTGCAGCAGAGCTGGGCTGCTCCTCAGGACGTGTACGCATGTCCCTCTTGCTTTCCAGTCACACGCATGGGCCCACCACTGGGCTTAAGAGACTATGCGCCCGGCATGCTGCCCGGTCGCCACGACCTGCCGCTACATCCTGGCGAGTTCTTGCCGGGACCTGTGCCATTCAGGCCTCCAGGCCCGCTCGGCGCCCGAGCGTATTTCATTTCAGATCCACGAATGCCACCACCACCCACTGGACTCCAGGACTACCGACCACCGCCTGCCGGGCCCGAGGAATACCCACCGCCACCTGCTGGGCCCCAGGACAACCCACTGACGCCTGCCGGGCTCCAGGACTACCCACCACTGCCTGCCGGGCCCCAGGACTTCCCACCACCGCCTGCCGGGCCCCAGGACTTCCCACCGCCACCTGCCGGGCACCAGGCCTACCCACCACCACGTGCCAGGTGCCAGCACTACGCACCATCGCCTGCCAGGCCCCAGGACTACCCACCGCCGCCTGCCGGGCCCCAGGACTTCCCACCGCCACCTGCCGGGCACCAGGCCTACCCACCACCACGTGCCGGGCGCCAGCGCTACCCACCACCGGCTGCCAGGCCCCAAGACTACCAACCACCACGTGCCGGGCGCCAGGCCTACCCACCACCGCCAATCAACCTATTACTACTAATTATCCCAATCCTCCTAGCCATAGCATTCTTAACCTTAACAGAACGCAAAACTACCCATCGCCAACTGCCGGGCCCCAGGACTGTCCACCGCCACCTGCTGGGCCCCAGGACAACCCACGACCACCTGCCGGGCCCAAGGACTACCCACGACCATCTGCCGGGCCCAAGACAACCCACCGCCACCTGCCGGGGCCAAAGACTACCCACCACCACCTGCCGGGCCCCAGGACTACCCATCTCCTCCTGCCGGGCCCCAGGACTACCCATCTCCTCCTGCCGGGCCCCAGGAATACCCACCGCCACCTGCCGGGCCCCAGGATTACCCATCGCCTTCTGCCGGGCACCAGGCCTACCCACCACCACGTGCCAGGTGCCAGCACTAGGCACCATCGCCTGCCAGGCCCCAGGACTACCCACCACCACCTGCCGGGCCCCAGGACAACCCACCACCACCTGCCGGGCGCCAGGCCTACCCACCACCACGTGCCGGGCGCCAGCACTACGCACCATCGCCTGCCAGGCCCCAGGACTACCCACTGCCGCCTGCCGGGCACCAGGCCTACCCACCACCACGTGCTGGGCGCCAGCGCTACCCACCACCAGCTGCCAGGCCCCAAGACTACCAACCACCACGTGCCGGGCCACAGGACTACCCACCACCGCCTGCTGGGCCCCAGGACTACCCACCGCCGCCTGCCGGGCACCAGGCCTACCCACCACCACGTGCCGGGCGCCAGCGCTACCCACCACCGGCTGCCAGGCCCCAAGACTACCAACCACCATGTGCCGGGCGCCAGGCCTACCCACCACCGCCAATCAACCTATTACTACTAATTATCCCAATCCTCCTAGCCATAGCATTCTTAACCTTAACAGAACGCAAAACTACCCATCGCCAACTGCCGGGCCCCAGGACTGCCCACTGCCACCTGCTGGGCCCCAGGACAACCCACTGACGCCTGCCGGGCCCCAGGACTACCCACCACCGCCTGCCGGGCCCCAGGACTTCCCACCACCACCTGCCGGGCGCCAGGCCTACCCACCACCACGTGCCGGGCGCCAGCGCTACCCACCACCGGCTGCCAGGCCCCAAGACTACCAACTACCATGTGCCGGGCCCCAGGACAACCCACCACCGCCAATCAACCTATTACTACTAATTATCCCAATCCTCCTAGCCATAGCATTCTTAACCTTAACAGAACGCAAAACTACCCATCGCCAACTGCCGGGCCCCAGGACAACCCACGACCACCTGCCGGGCCCAAGGACTACCCACGACCACCTGCCGGGCCCAAGGACTACCCACGACCATCTGCCGGGCCCAAGACAACCCACCGCCTCCTGCCGGGGCCGAAGACTACCCACCACCACCTGCCGGGCCCCAGGACTACCCATCTCCTCCTGCCGGGCCCCAGGACTACCCATCTCCTCCTGCCGGGCCCCAGGAATACCCACCGCCACCTGCCGGGCCCCAGGACTACCCATCTCCTCCTGCCGGGCCCCAGGAATACCCACCGCCACCTGCCGGGCCCCAGGACTACCCACCGCCACCTGCCGGGCCCCAGGACTGCCCATCTCCTCCTGCCGGGCCCCAGGACTACCCATCTCCTCCTGCCGGGCTCCAGGACTACCCATCTCTTCCTGCCGGGCCCCAGGAATACCCATCTCCTCCTGCCGGGCCCCAGGAATACCCACCACCACCTGCCGGGCCCCAGGACTACCCATCTCCTCCTGCCGGGCCCCAGGAATACCCACCGCCACCTGCCGGGCTCCAGGACTACCCATCTCCTCCTGTCGGGCCCCAGGAATACCCACCGCCACCTGCCGGGCCCCAGGACTACCCATCTCCTCCTGCCAGGCCCCAGGAATACCCACCACCACCTGCTGGGCCCCAGGACTACCCATCTCCTCCTGCCGGGCCCCAGGAATACCCACCGCCACCTGCCGGGCCCCAGGACTACCCATCTCCTCCTGCCGGGCTCCAGGACTACCCATCTCCTCCTGCCGGGCCCCAGGAATACCCACCGCCACCTGCCGGGCCCCAGGATTACCCACCGCCTTCTGCCGGGCTCCAGGCCTACCCACTGCCGCATGCTGGACCCCAGCACTACCCACCGCCAACTGCCAGGCCCCAGGACAACACAGCACAGCCTGCCGGGCCCCAGGACAACTCACCGCCGACTGCCGGCCCCAGACTACCCACCACCATGTGATGGGCCCCAAGACTACCCACTGCCGCCTGCCGGGCACCTGGCCACCCACCACCAAGTTCCGGACCCCAGGACTACCCATTACCCCCTGCAGGGACCAAGAGTACCCACCGCCGCCTGCCGGGCCCCAGGAATATCCACGGCCACCTGTCAGGCCCCAGGACAACCCACCGCCCTCTGCTGGGCTCCAGAACTATCCATTGCCCCATGTTGGGCCCCAGGACTACCCACCGCCAAGTGCTGGTCCCCAGGACTACCCACCGCCAAGTGCCGGTCCCCAGGACTACCCACCGCCAAGTGCCGGTCCCCAGGACAACACACCACCACCTGCCGGACCCCAGGACAACCCACGACTGCCCAGGACTAGCCACTGCCACCTACTGGGCCCCAGGATAACACACCGCCACCTGCCGTGGCCGAAGACTAACCACAGCCACCTGCCGGGCCCCAGGACTCCCCCACCATCTGCCGGGCCCCAGGACTACCCACCATCACCTGCCAGGCCCCAGGACTAGCCACCGATGCCTGCCGGGCCCCAGGACTACCCACCACCACCTGCCGGGCCCGAGACTACCCACCACCATGTACCGGGCCCCAGGACTACCCACCACCACCTGCTGGGCCCCAGACTACCCACCACCATGTACCAGGCCCCAGGACTACCCACCTCCACCTGCCGGGCCCCAGACTACCCACCACCGCCTGCTGGGCCCCGGAATACCCACCCCCGCCTGCTGGGCCCCAGGACTACCCATTGCCGCCTATTGGGCGCCTTTTTCTCCTATGGGTCTGCGCTTATTTCTAGGACTGATAAAAGTTCTCTCCAGTTAACTGCAGCCTTGATGTTTCCTGATTTGCCCCCAACTACAGATTAAAGTAATGTACTTGTATTGCACAGTTATTTCTGGATAGTGGAATGACTTGTTTTGTTTTTTTACATTTTAGCATCAGGTTTCACTCTCTTTCCTAGGCCAGTCTCAAACCCCTGGGCTCAAGTGATCCTTGAGTGCTTTAGCTGCCTGAGCAGCTAGGATTGCAGACCTCACAACCAGTAACTATTTTTTGAAAAACTTCAGTGAGGTACAAATATGTTCAGCAGCAACAAAAGAGTGTAAGCACTGGCCTCTCTCTGCTGGGATAAGTGCACTGCTGCACCAGAGACAGGGAGGGCAAGTACCAAGCAGATGCCTGTCACCTTCTCAGTACGGCAGGAGTGCCCAGGGCCCACGTGGGCTGGATGCTGCTGGGCTGCACCTGCTTCCCTGTCCCCACTAAAGATGCCCTGAAGGCCTGGTGCTCCCTCTCTACCCAGAACACAGCGCTCACATAGGCTGCTGCCTACCCAGAACACAGTGCTCCCATACACAGCCACGGCCACAACCTGGCCTGAATCCCGGGCCTGCTTGCCGGCCAGCCCCTATCAGGGACACGCCCCGTTCCTGGCTTTCTCCCTCCCTCCCTCACTCCTCCTCCGTCTCTTTCCCCCACCTCTTCCCTTCCTCCACCGCCCCAGGCACATGCCCACCCCGACCCCGCACCCCACCTCCTCGCACAGGAGAAGCACACCCCACGTAGACAGTTGGCGCTCAATAAGTGCCCAGGCCCCTCTGTGCACATGCACACTTGAACCTGACCTAGTGGTGACCCCCCCTCGACTCCGCCCCCAAATCCGAACTGCCAGCTGCAGCCCCGAACCAAACTTTTTTTTTTTTTTTTTTTTGTACTGAGCTGCTGCAAACCCTGCCACAGTTTCTCGCTGTTGTCTTTCCAGGCCTGGCTCTGGGACAGGCTTCTCCAAGAGAGGCCCAGCTTGCCCCAGGTCTAGAGAGGAAGCCAGAAAACTGCGGGCCGCGGAGGGGGGGGGGTGTGCAGAGCTTGGAGCGGGCCACAGGGACTAGAGGCCCTGGTATCAGCGCGGGATGGCACAGCGCAAGAGAGGAAAACCAACCTTTCCATTTGCTTCTGAGTGTTCTCCTGCTCACTTTAGGACAACTCCCTGGTTTGTAGTTGTAAGGCAAGGTGTTTTTTACCGATTCTGGAATTCAATGGGAGAAAGTTAACTGTTAGCATTCAACCCTCATGTAAACAATACTGGCTGCTTTTGGTACCATCAGGCCCTGGCTTTTGTATAATTTGTAACAAGTAGAATTGAAGCCGTTCCATTGTGTTGCTCTGTGTTTGTTCTAGATAAGACCAGAGCCTCAAGTGTAGTACAGGGACCAGGGTGTCTATTTTGAGGGCACACTGTATATATTTATATTGTGAATTTAATGCATACAAGAGGAATCATACCTCCCCACCCAAAAAAAGTTTAAAAATATTTTCCGACCTGATTTATGAAACCACAGGACAATTTCAGGCCTGCTGCTTCTTCAGCAAAGGCAAACCTGCTTGAACTGCTAACCTGGCTGCGTGACCTTCAGCAGGGCCTTGAAGTTGTGACATCAGCCTCTTTACCTGGAAGATGAAATAAAATCCTGCAGAGATGGTGGCTCGCAAATCAGCACCAACAGTGCTTCCCCTGTTGCCCACAATGTGCCAAATAAGAAAATTACACAAACCAAAATTCCTAGAGGATGCAGGTTTTCAACTGGGGCTGATTTTGCTCTCAGGGCACATTTAGCAATGTTTGGGGACATTTTTGATTGTCACAACTGGGAGGAAGTGCCGCCTACTGGATTTAGGGTGACAGAGCCTAGGATGCTACTAAACTTCCTTAGGGAACAAGGCAGCCCCCAAGGCCAAAGAGTGGCCCTGTCTAAAATGTCAATAGCGCCCCCCTCTGACTTGTCCTGCCCAAGGAAGACACTGCTCTGGAGTCATTCCTGAAAACCTCCTGCTACCTTTCAACTGTCCTCCTAAAGGAAAGAGCTCTGTTTTTCATTAAGAGGAACGAGGTGTGGGACTGCACCAGTTCCATTAATACACAAAGCTCCTCCTTCCCAGAAATGGCAGGTTGGGATTCTAGATTTTATTATGAAAGGAACAAATCCAATCCATTCAATTTCATGTCCATGTTTCCATTTGTTCTCAAACACTGCTGCATAGCCCCTGTCCTGAGGGTCACACACCCACCCAGGAGGGGAATTACTGCCCTTGCAACAATTAAGGAACAATAGAAATAACACAGAACTGAGCTTTAACTGCAGCACCCAGGTTAAGGTGGCTCAGAGGGAAGGGAACCGAGTCCCTACAGCAAAGCCCAGGTCTTGCCTGTGGGCTGAGATGTTCAGGAAATGTTTAAAGTTTTAGACTTTGAAGTAGGGCTCCGGCTCAGCTCCATCACAGGATATAAACCCCTTGATTTTCTAAACAGATATTGGTGTCTGACTGTGAATTTATTTTTCTTAAAACGTCTAGTGCAAACTTTTAACCAAAGCTATGGGTTTCCTAAAATGATTAATAAAACCAAAATGTTTACATGCGTGCCTGCCCTGTGCCGAATAAGCCCAGAGCCTCTCCCGTCCCCAGCAGAACCAGTAGCTTGTTCACTCTGAGATGCAGTCTGGGCAACCCCAGCCACGCAAGGCATATGCTCACAGCATAGGCTGGATGCAAATCCCTTTCCTGCAGGTAGGTACTTGCATGGTGTGCCTTCCAGAGCTCTACACATCCACACCGAGTCAGGGAGAACATCGCATCACACACATCCTGCCACACAAGCACACTCGGCCAGCAATCAGCTCCGTGACGTGGAATCCGGGCCCTTCCTGAACTCACACTGCTCAGTACACACCTTACACCCTTCAGAGCCTCACTTCTGGCTTCCACTCCTGTGCCTGATACATCCCTCCCCCACAACTACCATTTGCTCTACCCCAGGTGCATCCCGTTCAGAGCCACCCCCACCCTGCTTTTTCCCACATCCTACCCCACACTCACCATTAAGGTCTTGGCGGCTTTTTCCTCATCTCCATCAAGGGAACTGGCTCTCTGGGGAGTATCTGCCACTAGTGGAGGTTAAGCAAAACAGACAGGGCCCTGCCTCATATTATGTGGACACATCCCTAGCTCACTAGTAGGGTGCTGAGTCTGAGACTGCCCCTCCCTCTGTCCTTCCCCGGTGCAGACTCCCTGCGCTCCCGTGCTGCTGCCTCCCCTAGAAACGCCCCATGCACCCTTTCACCCCTTTACCCAGCTCCCTTAGTCACCCGTAGCATGTTCTCAGGGAAGCTCTTTCTGGCCCCACAAAAAGTAGCCATGCCCCTCCTTTGTGTCCAACAGCATCCACATCTTACCCCTGAATCATTGTACTAACATCTCCATTCTCTTGGCCTTATCTGCTAGGAGACATTTTGTGAAGACAGCCACTGTGGCTTGTTCTTCACTGTATGTGTATCCAACGCTCGCTGTCTGGCAGGGCTTGCAGGAGGCCCTTCACAAGGGTTTCTTAAGGATGAGTCTCTGGCTGGACCTAGGGACAGAGTAGACATATTCCATAGTTCTGGTGATCCCTGACTCAAAGCACGTCCTGATGTTCCACAGCTCCCAGGACTCCTGAAGATCATCTCCGCAGAGCAAGATGAAACTTAAAAATGAATGGTGTCTCTGGGTTCCACCCGAGCCCCCACTGATAAACGTCTCCTGTTTTCCTGAACTGCAGGTTCTTATAACCAGTTACCACTTTGGCACCTCCACTTGGATGTCTAATCAGATCTCAAGTGAGTCGTGAGCCAGATGTGGTAGCACGTGCCTTTAATCTCAGCACTTGACAGGCTGAGGCAGGAGGCTCACCTGTTTCAGGCCAACCTGGGCTCCATAGTGAAATTCTAACTCAAACAAATCAAAAACTACCATCTCCAAATCCATTTCTCTTGCCCTTCCAAAATCTGCTCCCTTTCTTCTAAGCAAATAAGAGCCTATTCTCCTACTTGCTCAGAAAAGAGGTTGAAATCATCTCTAGTTCTCTTTTCGTTCTCACACACCGCAATTCATCAAGAAATTCTGTTGGCTCACCTATGCACTACCTGAGCAATGCCCCACCATTGCCTAATTCAGCCCCCGTCTGGCCTACCCGGCCTCCTGCAGCAGGCTCCTGTTTCCTGCTGTTGCTGGCACCCAGCTGTAAACTGTTCAACCTTCAGCAGCCAGAGCAATTTTTTTTAAAACCTGCATTACACGACACACTCCTCTGCTCAAAAATTCCAGCAGCTTCCCTTCTACTTGATCTTGGCCTAAACAACTCTCGGGTTCCCCCAGCTGCCACTCCTCCCTGGAGCCTGCTGCTCCAGGCTGACGGGCCCCTGCCTGGCCCACAGATCCGCTCCCAACTCTGTCTTCCAAGACCACTGCTTTGGGCCACAAGACCTGCTCCCGCACTCACTGCATCACTCGCTGCAGGTCCCTCCTCAAATGCACCTAGGAGAGACACAGTCCCTGTCCAATGTGTCCACAGTAGCGTCCCCCAACTGCACCTTCATCCACCTTTTCTTCCTTACACTTAGCACCAGACAATCTTTCCCTTGTCAGGAATTTTGATTCTTCCATGCTTATTTGGCTGTAAGTTCAATGAGAACAGGGACTTAGTTGTCCCTTACTGTTATATAGTCAGCTTCTAGAACATTGTCTGGGCCCGGGGGTATACCTCAGTGGCACAGTTATCTGTCTGCAAGCGCAAGGTTCTGAGTTCAATTCCCAGTACCAAGAAAGAAAGAAAGAAAGAAAGAAAGAAAGAAAAAAGAGCATTGCCATTGTCTAGCTGCTAGCATACATATAGGATCACAGGCCCTACACAAACTCTTAGCCCCAATAGTCACACACCTTCCTCTAAAAGCTATCATTCTTAAGATTACTCACAAATGTGACCTCTGTGCCAGGACCTCTCCTCAGGAATGTATGGCACCCCCTTCCTTTCCTACCCATCAGTTTCGAGGACACACCCATGGTCAGGACTGGCAGATA